CTCTCTCTCTCTCTCTCTCTCTCTCTCTCCCTCTCTCTCTCTGTCTCTGTGTGTCTCTCTCTCCTTCTCCCTCCCTAGTACATCCTTGAATAAAGGCAATCCAACAATGCTTACCCAGACACCCTCGCACATTTCTGAATTCACACAGTCATAAATTCTTACAGAACAGAACAGCATGAATAAAACGATCTGAGAGAACATAATAATATCTGTATTGGAAATGTCGGAAATTACAGATTAAAGCTGGACTGAAACAAATGCGTTTTAAGTGCTGATTTAAATTTTGATAAAGTGGTGGACTCCCGTAGATGAGCTGTGCCACGTATAAAGCTGCATGTTTCGTGAGGTGATATAATCAAGAGCTTGTCAGTTGTCTCCTTTGTGGGTGTTTTTTTTTCAAATACTATTTATGGAGTTAGATCTAATGGAATAAATTAAAGCTGTTCATTTGCCTATCTATATTGAACAGAAGTCGAGATATTTTGACAGAAGGAGGTGTGTGGGGGTGGGGGGGGGTCTCCTGTTGTTATAGTTGAAATTAATAGCAGTCAAAGATTTGGTGGCTTGCAAAGCTAGTGTGTCCTTGGAAACTGCATATTTGATTTTTGTTTCGTTGGAATTCTCATACAAACTAACATTTTAACGAACCAAAAGGTGTTGAGCTAAACTCAAATAGTCGATAAAACTAACCCAGCTAGAAGGCTCATTTGACCTTATGCATTTGCTCGCACCGTAAAACACTCACAAAGAAAAAAATAAACAAAAACGGACGAGAAAATGTACACTTGTTTAACCCTATCCGTACGTCGTGTTTTACTATCGTATCCATACGACGTGGGGAACTCGGTGCCATCACTTTCCAAAGAGGAAATTTACTCGTTTATCCGATCCGTACGCATTGCTTTGCAGTCTGTCAAAATGATTTTGTTTTTTTTTAGAAATACTGAAATTTTCAGAGAGATGTTCGTACTAGAAATATTCTAAAAAGTGAAGAATACAATCCCAGGGGTACCAAATGACCCCAGGGCGTACGGAGAGGGTTATTCACTAATCTTCTGTCCGCTGCCTGCCTGATGTTCCCAGCGTTTGTGACGGTCCTCTCCATGTTCATCTACGGCCTCAACTGCTTCCCACTGTTCGCCAGCGTGGCCTTACGCTCCGTCCTGTCATGCGCAGTGGGTTCTGTCTACACCTGGTGCTTCTCTGTGGTCATCGTGTACACCTTCTTCACCTGTGATTTGTCCCCAGTGAGTATCGTTGTCATGACAACCGAGCCGACTCTTTAATAACAATGGCTGACTTGTAATGTTATCAGCCAAAATAAGCGTAGAAATAAGTCTTTCCCATGAAATGAAAACCAACAAACAAACATACAAACAAACAGTTACTGCGTGTGAAGATAATATAGGTGTCTAATACTAACAATAATTATAAATAATAATAACAATAGCGAAAACCCACACTCTACAGCGTGCTCTATGAGCTGTATAACTATTAATAACCGAGAATGCCCTAAAACACAACTCAGAGACATTCTTATCTTCCCCGGAAGCATACTGTGCGAGCTGCAAACTGCACTAAAAAAACTGGCATCGTCTTTCGCTGTCTATAGCTGGCTACTCATTCCTACATAGATGAAGAGAGGAAAATCAATCTTATATTACGGTGCACTCAACATCGAGCCCCTGACAGGATTCGAACTCAAGACCTTACGGTGTAGAGACCGAGAGACTAACCACTCAATCATCTGTCTGTCTTAAAGATCTGTACATCTGAAACTGCTCCGCGTTTCCCGGATGTTACCGAGAGCCTGGGTCTCTGCAATAGACTTCCTTGTCCATACAGTGGTGCTGTTTGTCTGTCGTTTCTTAGCTTGGTTTTATAATTTATGAAACAACGACTGGGTTGTGAAATTGTTCTGTGCTGGTGCTGTATTATGAATCTAAGTACATGTATGTACAATACGTGTATGTGTTTTTGTATGTATGTATCTATAGTTATGTATCTAATTTATGTATGTATGATTATATGCCATTGTAAACCAAATTGCCCTTCTGGAATCAATAAAAATGTCGTTTATTTATTATTATTTTTATAATCAAACAAAATCAAAACAGAATTGTTGTGTCAGTGACATGCCAAAGTAATTCTGGCCACTAATAAAGTTTGCTTTTTGTTTTCCTCACTCGACTGAACGGTCCCTCACCTCTTCACGTGCTTAGGAAGCTCGGGTGGCCTATTTTTTCATGAGTGGCCCACAGCTTCTGTCCCTGGCCTACCTCTGCCTACGTCTCCCGTACGGCTTTGTGGTGACCTTCCGCATCTGGCTACGGGAAAGGCGGTGTGAGAAGGTCAAGTTCAGAGAGTCTTTGACTCGGATACGAAAGTCTTATCAAGGTCAGCGTGTGACCCAGTTATTTCGAAAGCCTCCGGAGGACAAAGGGTAAGTTAGTGATATCCGTAAAAGCAAAGTATAATATCTTATTGTCTGCAAGAAGTTCAACAGTTTCTAGTTCAGAAAGCATTTTTTCTTTGCTGAAGAGAGAAAAACTCTGTTCTGTTATTTTAATAATAGCACCTCCATTATATATACATGAATATGTACTTTTTTTTCTTACTTCTATTTTCAAAATTAGAATGTCCATTTCTACAAAGTAATTTCTTGACTCTTGCAACCGGTACCACATAATATGAAAATGCAATACATGTTTCCCAACTTTGAGGCTTAGTACATCTGGACTGCTAGCCGAAGGATTATGTATTCGAGTATCATGAAGGTCACATCCCGCTGTTTTCTGTTGAGACATAGCCTCAGCCCCCTATGGCCCCCATAGTGACCACTTGGTAAAACAATTCGAAACTAAGACAGAGTAAGGAGAGTTATACTGGTTCTTTTCTTATTTAGAACCTCTCATCGTTTTTTTACTTACCTTAAGTTATCCTCACCTTTTCTTTCCCTTTTCGTTGGTTTCCTCATTAAATGTCTGTTCAGGGCGGTATTGCCCGTACAACAACATGTGGTCTGATGTTTGTCTTATAACTTAATGTTATAATCACGTTACCCTCACACTTTCATTGAAGTTGAGACTGAGCTCATACGAGAGTGGCAGATTCAGATTTTTGCCTACAGGATTTTCTATCAGTCACTACGTAAACGTTACCTATAATTAGGTATGGTTGCGGAAAAACAGCCGCACACATTGTAGAAGAGAAATGTGGTTATCCTAAGCAGAATGATCTTCTGGGAGAGTGTGATTATAACACAGAATAAACACGCAGGGGTAGGAGGGGGTGGCCAGTTCTGCAAGTGGTTGTCAATTAAAGGTAATCGTTAGAGCAGATTAGACTGTACGGTGTGTTCTTTTTAAAATGTGAATATTTCTTACTATGATAAGTGGACTTCCAAGCCATTACCTATCTCATGGTACAAATTTTTACTTTTATTTTTCATGTTTCCTCAGGAAAAAAGATCAAGATATCGTAGAAAAAATATTCACATCGTTAGTAAATTTCTTGAAGAGCTGGATCTACAATTGGCAACCAGACTTCCGATACTCTGCACGTATACTGGCCATTATGTGGGTCGGCTTTGCTGTGTTGTACATGGTGAGTTGAAAACAGAACTTGCATTAAAGTTACGAAAGTTTCACTTTGCTAAAGAAATCTTATCAGCGTCTGTGTGTGGTGTTGCGGTTGGGAGCTTCGCCGTCGCTGTTGTGGGAGGACCAATACGGAGTGCCCATTGGGGGATCGGGTCGGGTCGGGTCGGTTTGCTAGTCAGATTGAGGGTGCAAAGCGGCTATCGTTGCACACGCCGATTGCGCCCGACTTGTTGCCTCAAAAACAAACGTGCTTGTTTTCCGGCGACGAGTCGGGCGATCGACCCGATCCGACCCGATCCCATCCGCAAAGGGCACCCCGTGGTATCAAGTATCTGCGCTTGTATGCCAGGACCTTGTATCCCTCTCAGACAGGGTTTTCGTGCAGACAGGATGAAGGCGTTAAACATCTACTGTTATAAAATATAAGTAAAGACATTTCAAATCATTACTACTGTTCCTCCTAACACACGACTTTCTGGCAATCCAGATTAAAGATACTGCTGTGTAGATCCCCTCGATCGAAACTAAAACTTCTGTTTTGTTTTAGTAAGTGGTTTACGGCCCTTTAAACACAATAAAGTCATATAAGTGACGAAAATTAGAGGTGTTACAAGAGAGTGACAAACACACAAAAAAAATGGAAGGGAGATGAAGGCAATAGATGTTTGATAGAAAAGAAGAAGCAAACCCCACCAGAGCACCCCCTAATCACACGCTGACATTTCTAACAATTAATTCGTTACTCAAGTTATTTAAGGAGTTTGAAGGCTTCCCCAACCACTTCGCATTGTTGTATTGAAGATGGACGTGGAATACAAAAACTACCCACCCACCCTGACTCTCAACCGCTAATGGTGCTGAAACTGTTTCTAGAATAATGGCATGGAACAGCACGTCACAGCACAACATAGCCACGTTTACTAATGGTATCGCTTTATACAAATAGTATCTCCTCACTGCCCCGCCTCTACACTCTATACTCTGCATCTTTTACATTGGTTTTCGGGTTTTTTCTCTCCCTGTCTCTTTTATTTCTAACTAATATTTTTGTTTTGCTCGGAACCGTGTTACAACAAAATGATTGGTCTACAGTTTTACCTATGAATAGCGGCCAATGAAAATTAGAGAGACACAACTAGAGTATAATTTTGTCCTGTGTTGGTGCGGTAGTGTTTCATTGCCCACAACTGTCCACAAAACCGTTGACCAGTTACACTGATCTACAAAATTCTGAAAATACGTGGGCTTAGGCATATACACATGATTTTTATATGGAATCTAGGCCCGTAGAATCCAAATCTGATATCAGATTTTCTCTATCATGTCATAATTTTAATACGAGACGTCATAATTTCTGTTGGGGTTTTTTTTCTCTTTGAGTCATAAACCCCTAAAATCTCACTCACATTTCGGCTTAGGCATGTAAGTTTGATTTTCATTTGGAATGTGGATGGTAGAATCCGAATTTTAATACGACACTTCGCCTTTTGGGGCTGTTTTTTTCTATTCGATTCATTTAAATTGTTTTGCCCTCCTGTGGTACTTGGCTTAGGTGTGTGTTTACCAGCTTCAAACCTTAAGGACTCTTTTTTCCCCCAGACTATGTTCAAAATAACCTGGAGCAGCACGTCATTATTTCTCTACCTGGTGGACGTGGCCACGTACTCTCTCGACTCCATTGGCTGGTCCGACCAGGCTGGAGATTCTGACGTCATAAAACTCGCTCGCATCCTGCTCAAAATTTACTACTATTTCATAGCTGCCATATTTGGTGAGTGCCCGTCTGTCTGTATGTTTGTTTGTCTGCCTGTCTATCTGTATATCTGTCTGTCTGTATATACGTGCACGCACACGCTCATACGCTCATACGTACTCACACATAGGCAAGCACACGCCCACACACACACACACACACACACACACACACACACACACACACACACACACACACATTCGCCTGCATCCATATTAACAAACAAGTTCAAGCAAGGTTTGTTCCTTGTTAGCGCCACTAACTTATTCCTTTTTAACGCTCGGTGTTGGTTTTTGGGGGTTTTTTTGGTTTTTTTGGGGGGGGTCCTCAAGACTTTTTAACCATTTTTCCTCAGTCCCATTTCAAAGAAATAAAGGGATGAAAATAGATTAGACCTCCTACATCGTATAACCTGACAGTGGTCAACGACTTCATGGAGTAATTCATAAAGGCAAAGGCAAGGAAAAATGAAAGCCTGTTGTGTCAAGGGGGTGGGGCACCAGTGGACTGACAAGGTCGTAGTGTCAGGTCACAGGTCACAGGTCACAGGTCACAGGTGAGAGGTGAAAGGTGATTGCGGTAGACGTACAGTCAGAAGTCTGTCCTCATAAATTCCATGTGTGTGTTAACCCTATCCGTACGTTGCGTTTTACTATCGTATCCGTACGACGTGGGGAACTCTATGCCACCACTTTCCAAAGAGGAAATTTACTCGTTATCCAATCCGTACGCTTTGCATAGCAGTCTGTCAAAATGATTTCTGAGAAATACTGAAAGTTTCAAAGAGATCTTCGTACTAGAAGTATTCTAAAATGTGAAGCATACAACCCCGAGGGTACAAAGTAACCCCAGGGCGTACGGATAGGGTTTTAATGAATATTTGATACTGTCATACCTTACTCTTTCTAACTCCCTTGTTGTTTTGTTTTTTCAGTCTTGGCCATCATATGTTATATCGTCGCCTTTGTCATCGGTTTATGCAGCATACTATACAGTTTGTCATCATACAGGTAAATATAGGCGTAGTATAGTGTTACATCTCATAGGTAAGCAGCTATAAATGTGGACCTTCATTGGATTTTATGGGGACCACGGTGATTTTTTGTTTGAATACGATAAATTTTAGCAGAAATTATCAAATCTGTCAAAATACATTTACTAAGATTGGTATTCGTAGTGAAATTTAAAGGAACATTTGTTTGCTGAATTTTTTAAAAATTAATTGTATTGTTATCGTTATGCAGTTTATAATTTCTACTTTTTTAATTAAAAGAGTTACTTTACGTACAATGACCAGTAGTAGAAGGTGTGGCCCCATGTTATTTATGGCCCAGTCGAAGTCGCCCTGATTCGATCATTTGCCTACGACTGCAGTAAAGACATTGGCGTATTGAAGTCATTACTGGCTGTTAATCCTTCAATAGTACCCCGCCTTCAAGTAAGCATTCAGCTGTCACTGAGAGCAGGATCTGCCGGTTTTGTTGGAGTTTTTTGTTGTTTGTTTGGTTTGTTTTCGTTTTGTTTCGGGGGGGTGTGCTTATTTGTTTTTGTTTTGCTTTTTGTTTGTTTGTTTGTTTTTGTTTGTTTTGTTTGTTAGTTGTTGTTTTTTATTAGGGGGGTGTTTGTTTGGTTTTTGTTTACTTTAAAAATTCATGTCTGCTTATTTGTCAAGCGAAAAACAGGCTAAGGCTCAGTAATCACACCACGACTTCTATTTTTTTTTCACCTTTTGTGATTGACTTGGCTTGCTCTCTACTTGAATTGCTTTTATTTTTAAAAATACAGCTTGGAAAGCCTTGTTTGGTTTTTCACCATACAAATTACATAGGGTACTACTTTAAGATAAGGGATAGTCCTCTGACATTTTCTTAAAATGAACATACACTGGGTTTTTTGGGAGTTTTTAGTGTTGTTGTTTTTTATTTGTATTTTTTTAAATTCTTTCATTTGGTTTGTTTAAGGCACAATCTGAGGGCTCTGCACAAGGGAGACTATAGCCACGTACCTCCAAGAGGCAAGATGACCAACGTGAGCCTTCTGGTGAGGCAAACATGGGTGCTTAGAGTTGACTGCTAAACAGGTCCAAAAGAAAAATAGGAAACTAAACTGGTCTATATTGATCTAAAACCTGTAACATTACATTAAGTTTGATAATTATGGAAGGCAAAATAGATTACCAGTACTTTAAGAAACTGTAACAATAGAATACCCACTCCCCCCTCCCCCCAAAAGCAGCATAATACTAATTAATTGGTCTAACGGTGCGGCCACTGTCTCTTTTGATACAGTTTTTTAATTATTGGGTTTTATTTTTTTTCCAGACTGGTAGTATGCGCTACGCCGGATATCAAGTGGGTTACATCGCATGGGGTAAGACACTTATCGTTATCTCAGAATTACAATGTTGTGTTTGCCCAGTACCTAGTTTTGAAAATGTTGACGTCACGAATGCAGTTCGTCAAATATCATGATAAGGACATAGAATTATTTTGCAATTTTGACAGAAGATTTGATTTCTGACCTCATGGTCTTAGTAACTCGAAACGGTCAAAAACATCATACAGAACCTAGTAATTCTGAGGTAGCGTAATGCTTCGCTTTCTGTTCTGACTTAAAGTTTGAGTAGGTTGGAGCAAAAGACTTGCACTCCTAGACCACGCACTGTCATAACCGCGGTGATTCAGGCGAGCACCACTGTCTACGCTAGTGCACCCAAATAAAGGCCAAAACACCAGTATAGTAGTCGGGTGGATGCAGAACCTTTCCCGACGCCTTTCATTTGGCTCAATAGTATGTTCCATAGTGAACAAGAAATACATCAGAGAATACGATCTAGAGTTTTATAAAGAGAAAAAATAATGTCCGTTTAGTCCTGGAGAAAAAGAAAGTCAGATAGAGACTACAAAGGAAAGGAGAAAAGAGTAAATATTACCACCCCCCCCCCCCTTTTTTTTTTTTTTTAAAGAACAAACCATCCACTTTTCTGCTTTACCTTGAGGTACAAAATCTCACAGCTTACATTTATCCACGCTGAGTTAAAGAAACAGAAAAGTGCTAGAAGAAGACAAGTGACACAAAGAGTAATTTCAGCTCTCTAACTAACTATTACTAACGTGTTCCAGCACAAGACAAAATTGATTTATCTGATTACGACGTCGAGCTCAAACGGCTGTTCCAAGAATAAGTTGCTGACACGGTTAATGCAACCATAGACTGAGGCTAATAGTTGATACAGCCTTTGAATTAAAAAAAAAATATTAGTCCACTTTCAACTTCAGGAAATGGGTTAGGTACCCGCCTTGTGTCTGTCTTTCTGTCTCTGCCTCTCTCTCTCTCTCTCTCTCTCTCTCTCTCTCTCTCTCTCTCTCTCTCTCGTTCCTTCGCACACATAGTGAACACACACATAGTGAACATGCACACAATGAGCATTTTTCTCTTTCTTTCTGTCTTTCTCTTTCTCCTCCTATCCTTCCCTCTCACTTTCTCGCTCTCTCAATCTCCCCCTTTCACACAATCACACGAGCTTTCTCTGTTGTCTTCTCTCACTAGCTAACGGGTTGTTTAAATGTTAGTTTGCCAAGCCTGCCTCAGCTATCTTGACATGTCTAGGTGATAAGGTCTGTTAACTTTGAGAGAGTTTATTGTGTTCTCTTTGATTGTTAGTTGACTTTACAGGTTCCAGAAATAAAACAAGTAATGTCTACAAAAAAGCTATACATAATTTCAAAAGCTTTTGTTCACTTAAAATATTATATTTCAACGTACACTAGAATCTAACAGAAAGTCAGAAATACTTATATTATCCGTGGTTCATTTTTTGGTTTTCGTTTTTCGGGGGGTGGGGGGTTGTTTTGTTGGTTGTTGTTGGGGTTTTTTTGGGGGGGTCAATTTTTACATCAACGCGTTTACAGACAATGGCTTGTGACCTATTCTTTATTGATGAAGACAAAAATCCATAAAAGTCCAGCATATCAACCATTCTCTCCATGCCCCCCACCTCTTTCTCTCTCTCTCTCTCTCTCTCTCTCTCTCTCTCTATATATATATATATATATATATATATATATATATATATATATATATATATATATATATATAACTATCTATTTATCTATCTATCTAGCTATCTATCTAGCTGTCTATATCTTTCATTCTCAATTCCCAGGTAGGAACACACATTCCCTTTCTCTATCTATCTATCGATCTATCGATCTATCTATCGATCTATCTATAAAATTGTTCATACCAGATTTTTCGAGTCACTGTAACCTGATATCCTTAATCTTTAGAGTAATTATAATCAAACTAGAAAAAAAGCGTATTTTTATTTCACCATGCGTATCCCCTGTGATTGTTATCATGTGTTTTTTTTAAACGCCTAAGTACCCCTCCCACTCTATAACCCTTTCCCCTCCGCACACGCACACACACACACACACACACACACACACACACACACACACACACACACACATACACACACACACACACATACACACACAAACAAACAAACACACACACAAACACACACACACACACACACTTACACACACAAAAGCACTCTCCCCTGTCCACCAAGCCCACCTTTCTCTGCTGTCGCACCGATTGTTCCCGTAACCAATCTATAAATAAAACCATGGTGTGTTGCATTTTCCAGCCTTCGTTCTTCAAGCCCTCAGCTTTTTCACCTTTGTGATCATCCTGGTTCTCGTCATTGTCATCATCGCTCTCGGTTTCAGCGAATGGTTCAAAAGCCTTCTTCAATACATCGGGTTAGTTGTTTTGAGGTTTTTTCTATTGTCTGTTGGATTGTTTTTCTTTTCTTTTTTTTTGGTATTTTACGGCGCTCGCAACTGCTTAAGGTCCCTATGAGCGCACGGGACACTTTTAAATTTTCAGCTGGTAGGAAATTTTGAATATTGCTCGGGTGGCGGCTGAAGCCTACTTTTATCGATTTTGGACCATCAAGGGATCTTTATCGTGTTCAACTTGCACAAAGGACCTCCCTGATTTTTTGCCCTTATCCGAGGAGGTTAGGTGTGGTCTTTCCTACCGTAAGGTCAGGGGTGTGGCTGAAAGACAGCAGTAAGAAGGAGACTAAGAGTAGCAATAGAAATGCTGGAGAAAGAGTCAGGAGCCCAGAGGAAGGGGCAAAGGAGGTGAGGGGGTGTGGGCAGAAAGTGGAGACGAAAGCAGATGACATAACATTGTTAGAGAGCAGGAAAGAAGATAAACGGTGATAATTTTAGAGAAGAGAATTTTCTGTTGCTCTCCGGATTCGAACCAAGGACCTATTGAACGAGAGGTGAACACCTTAACCTCTAGGCGACGAGAGCCGCCCTTAGTTGTTTGTTTTTTCTTGAACTGCTTACGTGTTTTTGTAATTATTAATTATTAAACTGTATGTCATCTCGACATTTAACGGAAACAAAGGATGAAAAAGTCAAAGTAAAATAAAGTAATTACAAGAATGACTGAGAGGTTTTAGTTATCTAGTGGTTGGGTTACAGGATTCCGAATCGAGAGATTGTTGGGTTTTTGGGGGGTTGAAGGCTCAGCTTAGTCTCACGTTGTGCGGTTTAGAAAGGCAATAATACTCTATTTTTTTCCTTTTAGCACAGTCATATCGGAAATGGACATTAACTCTGAGGTCCCTTCTCTTAAGTAACATTACAGTGTTGCACACGGTGAAATCAGAGGCTCGTCAATTTTGAGGCATATGTATGAAGTTATAAGTATCATCATTAAGCTTTTTTTTTGCATTTGGACGGGAAAATATATCTAATATAAGTCGAGAAATTTGCAATTGAGAGTGGTGAGGTCTCCTGGTGTCAGAAGTAAAATTCGCGAGAAATTGGCAGCCAATGTTTGGTTACTTCCATAACTTGAGTGTCCTAGAAAACGGGAAATTTGCATTAAAGAAAAAAATGTTTTAGCTTTGATCAACAAATAATCAACAATTTTCACACGAATTGTGTTGAGCCAAAAGAAGAAAATTCGAAAAAAAACTGGCCAAAAGCCAGAAAATTTTCGGGGTTTTTTTTCGATTTCATGAGTTTGAAGAGCGCTTGATCTCACCACGCTGCCGAACACATCATTCTTGGATCTTTTAAGAGCAAATTTCAACAGTCCATGACGTAATGAAAACACAAAATAATGGTTGTGTATAGGCCCCAATACCTTCACTGTACAGGCTTCACATTCTTGTACACGGGTAGGCGAGCCATCCGCATTGGTTAATGCTTTGTACAACAGAAGGAAAACGACAGTTGTTCTGTGACTGCTATTTACGTCCAACTCAGAAAGAGATTTTGAACATGGCCTTTGAAAAGCTCATTACACAATAATATCAGAAGTAAGAGAAAATATAACCCCCTATGTCTTTGCACATCATAAACATCATAGCCTTTTGTTTCCTCTTCCTATAAAACATCCTACTGTAAACCTTACGATGTTGCGTACTAATTATGTCAGGTCGAATTAGGGGGCTATACTTTACTTTTGCCATGTTTTGGAAGTTAAATTGTTTATTCCTGTCTCACCACAGCCCGTGGGTGTTTGTCCTGATAATCTTCTTGGTTGGCCAGTACTTCATGGCCAGGCTCGTCTTTCTACAGAGTCACAAGGACTCACTCTCCATAGACAACAGGTGAGAACATTTAGGCTGATGGCACCCTGCGATGTTCTAGTACACATGGTAGCTTGTTATCCTTTTTGCTATTAATCAAGTACAGCAGATGTCTCTATTGTAGCAGTTATGCGCTTTGCCGTCACATACAGCAGACCCGAGTTTGATTCCAGAGTATGATGAAGATTTATGCAGTTCCTTTGTCTTTCACCTGAGATGTTGTATTCCTCTGAGTCCAGATCGGCCCGGACAGGCAAGGTCGAAACCTGCCCTCTAAATGATCTAAAAAGTATGTTGATTCCGTCGTGTAACCCCCCCCCCCCCCCCCCCCCCAATTACTTTGTATGAATTTGAATAGCTGCACGCCGCCATCGATACAATTTAGATCATTTTGAACGCATGGTCCTTCAAGCCCATTAACAAGGGCAACCCCTGGATGACAGGGATAATGCATTTAAAAAAGCCGCCCCCATCTTGGAATAGAATTAATGTCTTCTGAATGAAAAGGCGATGAATCTAACAGGATCTAGGAGCAACTAGTTAAAGTTCGAGACCCAAAATTTGTCTTTCGTACTATGACATCTGTTTCCTTTCAGCTACAATAAAATAGGTTGGGTTTTTTTTTTCAAGAATTAACTTAATTATTTCCAAATCACAGCCAAACGAAAATATTTGTCTGTGTATACTCTACTAATGTCATGTATAGCAAACTTAAGATTAGACGTGCTTGCGTATACAAATACAATTTAAACTGAAAACTCAGAATGTCTGTTTAAAGACATTTCCGCGACAATTCTGAGACGATTCCGAATTGTCTTTAAACTGAAAAGTCGGAATCGTCAAATGCAGAGAAAACTCAAAGTTGTCACTAATAACAATAGTAAAAATACGAAGATAATTTCTTTTAACATTTCTGTTTCTGATTTTACATTGTTATCATCGTTCGCTATCCACCCCACCCTCCCCCCTCTTCACTCGTCCTCAGACGCGGTCTTTTCTTGGCGGCGTACTTCCTGTTCTTCTACAACGTCTTCGTCGGGTTCGCGTCCTGCCTGTTGCGTCTGTTCAAGTCCTTGGTCCTGGGAATCTGCCTCATCTCTCGGCTTGACCACAGCATCCTGCCACACAAGTTCGAGCTCAGCGACAATGGTAATAGTGTAATTATAAACAGTGTGGCGTCGGTGGTCTTGTGGTTAGGGTGTTGAGCTCGTAAGCGAAAAGTTGTGGATTCAAACCCCATCAGGCGCAAGGGCGAAGCCTAATTCCAAGAAAGCGTCATAGTCTTAAGCATACACACACACACACACACACACACACACACACACACACACACACACACATACACACACACATACACAAACACATACACACATTCACACTCACACATACACGCACACACACATGCAAACATACGTAACGGTACACATAAACAGTGTGAATATACACAAACACACATTTATAGTAGACGTGCATCTATTTATCTAACTCTTCTGTCTGCCTTTCTCGCTGTGTTTGTCTCTCTTCCTGCCTTTCTCTGGTTTGAGCCCCTCTCTATCTGTTTATCTTCATGTCTGCCTGTCAGTCCGTCTTTCTGTCTCTTTATCTGTAAATCTGTCTTCGTTCCCTTAACTTGTTCTCATTTCCAGTATCGTATATCGCCAGGGTTCGAGCGCTATGTGGGTTTCCTTCACCTAGAAAACTACCACAACCACCCAGTACAGCATGTATTTGTTCACCTGTTGCAACACTCAGCACAGGAGACGCGACACAAGCTCACGTCCGACACAACCTCACAGTCCACAGCTCTGGACAGTGGTCAACAGAAACAGAGCTCAAAAGGGTAGAGTAATTTTGTTTTGTTTGAGAACTAGTACACAACGGTTTGCACCAGGTCAGAGTTGTTTGGTTTTGTAATAAGACAAGACACCTTCATGATCAGGACAGCGTAAACTCGAGTTAGTAGTGCAACGATTAAGCTCCTCGATTTTGCTCATCGAAAGACATGAATTCGTTTCCCCAGTGGTGGAGATTTTTATCCAATATGTCAACCTGGCTATTGGGACGCTCTGTCCTTCCCTATTAAACCTGGGTTAGCCCTGACAGTCAGTGTTGAAGTAGCCTGCCTCTTAAATTGTATGAATTATGTTGGTTAAGCTGTAAAACAATTTGTAATTTGAATTAACTGTTACAATATCGGGTATAATTTGCTCAAAATGTTTGCAATTTGTCTGACATTGACAAGAAAGATGAGGTTTCGTTAGGTCTCTGAACATCTTGGTTCAGGAAAACTTAAAGCATTATTTGTGTCAATTTGTAACCAAACCTATTCTTGGGAATAAGTGAAACGTTATTCTCGGATTTCAAACCATATGTTTGACAAAATAAGTACATTAACTGGAGTTAGCGACGGTCAAGTGGTCTAGGAATTGAGCCAAGGCAAAAGACAATGTCCATGGCTCAGAGAATTGAGGTCGCGATGCTCGCACACAAAGTGGCAGTGTAGCCGTCTATGCAAGTTCACTATTCTGGTGAGTTTTTTAAATCTTAAATAATCTCATATGCCGGATGTTCTACTGGGGTCTGATTGCATGTAATACATTTCAGACTTTTGCACAAGGGAAACAAAGTTGGTAGTTTCGTCGGCTCCTCTAAAGGTGAGACAGATATGGGACAGATAGAGGTCAAAGAATCTGAAGCTGTCGAAAAAGGAGTCGATTACCAGCTCACAGATCAGCCTAGTGATGAATTGGGTCCTGCCAAAAGATTGTTTACGCCGAGACAAGACCAAAGAGATGAGCAACCATCGGTGAATGGCGAGATCAAAGATCCCGAGGTTGGATCCTCTGGGGATGTGAGTGCCCAGTGGGAGAAAGTGAAAGGTAAGAATAATGTATTCCTGAGTAGAAAAAGAGTAGGATGCCATCTGATTGCCTTTTAAATACCTAAAAGAAATAGAATGTGGGTGCTCTTCCAAAGTATGACAAACACGACTATTATTTGTCCTTGGTCCATTCATAATTATCGATACTGATCTTTGTGAGTGTAAGAGAAAGAGATTGAGAGAGAGAGAGAGAGAGAGAGAGAGAGAGAGAGAGAGAGAAAGAGAGAGAATGAGAAAGACAGAAAGACAGAGAGAGACAGTGGAGAGAGGAAGAGAGGGAGAGAGTGATAAAGAGATAAGCACAAGGCTGGCACACATGTGTCCCGTCAGTAACAGACGAAATGACATGTTGAGGCACATTTCGAATCAACATGTAAATTAGATACACGAAGTTTGATTATAAATTCATAACATGCATGATGTTGCCTACCTTTTGGGGTTTTTGATAAAGAAAACAAAATTGAAAAATCTGAATGAATAACAAAGTTGGGCTTCGTTTTCAAAGTGCTCCAAAAACAGCACGTCTTCAAACGTTGTGGAATGACAAGAATATAATGCGTTCTCTGTGAGTTAAACAGATACTGCTACCAAATGTGTCACGATATGGTAGAATCAGGCGCTCGTTAAGTTTTTGGTAGATGTAATTATTGGTATCATCTTTAAGCTTGTTCATTTATCAACTTTCCGATGATAAAATATGCCAGTCTATTTTAAATACAAATCGAGATATTTGCGATCGAAAGAGGTGGGGGGTCATCTGGCTTCAGCAGTAAAACTAGGGGGAAATAATCCTCAAAGTTTGGTGACCTAAATAGCTTGAGTGTCCGTGGAAACTGAAAGTTTACCTTTTTGTGCCTTCAGTCAACTTTTTAAAAAACTGAAATACGCACAGAAATTCGTTTTTAACTGGGCATAAAAGGTGTTGGGCCAAAATACAAACATCCGATAAAAATTGCAAAAAGTGGCGGAAAAATACCTATTTCTTTGATTTCCCAATTTTGGCCAGCGTTTGATTTCACCACAATGCCTCCCATAAAAGTTGTCTTCTTTCCTGCAGACTCCCCGGAACTGGTCCGTCACAGAAAACGCCAGCTGGCCGCCTTCCAGTGGTCCCTTGCCTACACTCTCTTCTCAAACCCTCAGTTTATTTTGGAGAGAAAAGGTTTCATACAACAACGAATGAAGAAGAAAGGAGGTGAGAGTGTCGAGAAGAAGGATGAGGACAAAGAAATTGTAAAGGGAGGACTAAACCTGGAAATGTTGAAGCTGAGCAAAAAAGTGAAAAAGACGGAGCAGACGAAAGATTGAGTCAAGACAGTGTTGTTTGTTTTTGCATGAGTTTGGAATAATGTTTCTCTCCGGGAAGAGCGGGTTACAGACCCCTAGAGTCTTTAATTACACAACTCGTTAACACATCTCATTAACACATCTCATTAACACATCTCATTAACTCATCTCGTTAACACATCTCATTGACATATCTCATTAACACATCTTGTTAACACATCCCGTTAACACATCTCATTAACACATCTCATTAACACATCTCATTAACTCATCTCGTTAACACATCTCATTGACATATCTCATTAACACATCTTGTTAACACATTCCGTTAACACATCTCATTAACATATTTCATTAACACATCTCGTTAACATGTAGCTAACACATGTCGCTAACACATCTCGTTAATTAACCCGTCTCGGTAACCCATCTTGTTAACACATCTCGTTCACATATTTGTTAGCGAAACTAAAAACCGCATCATCGCACACCGTCGGCTCTTGTGTAGCGATAAGGCGTCTCGCCAAGCACTCAGAGGACTTGAGTTCGATTCCCGCACGGGGAGTATTTTATGAGTATCTCGGGCTTTCTGCTGGGACGTTGTATCCCTCTCATTCCGGGTAGGCCCTGGCTGACAACAAGGTCGAAGCCCACCTTCTAAATGAATTTTAAATTGTGTCAAAATGCTGCGTTAAACATTAATATACATTCAAAAATAACATAATCACTGGCGGGGGTGGGTGGTTGGCGGGTGCGGTTTGATTCTTCTTTCCTGTCAAACATCTATCCTCTTTATTTTCCTTCATTCTTTTTGTGTTTGTTACTCTCTTATTTTATAGAGAAGTGAGACAACGTTGTGTCCCCTCTCCCTTTCTTTTTAACATCTATACAGAGTTTATTTTTAGAAAATCTCAAAACTGCAGGGCGTCACTATTGGGGGTCGCAACATCAATACCCTGAGATACGAACTGCTTGCAAAAACGAATGAAAATCTTTCTAAAATTGTGAACATGAAAGGAGTAAAAGTGACCAGCAGCAAGGCAGGCTTTGACATGAACACCAAGAAAACAAAAGCATTGATCTTATCAAAATCTTGTGAAAAAACAACTTACATAGATGGGGAGAGCATGGAACAAGTGAACCAATTCAAGTATCTTGGGACAATAATCACAGACTATAGAAGTGAAAAAGAAATAAACATACGAGAACAGCAACTGCAAGAGCAAAATTTTGCCAAATGTTTAAAAAATATGTAAATCCAGGCAATTATCTCTCACTCAAAGAAAGAAAATCTTCCCCATGTTCCTATATGGCGCAGAGACCTGGATTTTGACAAGGAAAGAAGAAAACAAAATAAATGCGTTTAACATACGAGACAAATCCTGCTGAATAAAATAAAATGAAGAAAAATTACAATACTTCGGCCACTTAAAATGACATGAGACCATTGTGAAAGAGGTGTTTGAAGGAAAGATAAGAGACAGGAGAGCCAGAGGGAGACAAAGAATAACATGGATGGACAACATAAGAACATGGACTGGCCTGGATTATGTCAAAATGTGCACCGGCAGCTCGCTACCTTGAAGGATGGAGGGTCATTACACGTCAAACTCTGAGTCAAACTCTGAGTCAGAGATAACACCTCCAGATATCCAGCTACTCCCTAGAAACACCACTTATATTCGGCACTTATATTATATGACTTTATTGTGTTAGAAGTACTAAACACATACTAAAACAAAAATCCCTGCGATCTCTGGAAAAAGAGGGTCTTCTCGGCATGTTCCCGTTGAAACCTATGTAGAAGTCCAGATGTTGTGTCATCACCTTAATTTAGGCGATCTATGGCAGACTCTTACAATATATTTTTTTCTTCTTTTTGTTGTTGTTGTTGTTGTTTTGTTTGTTTTGTGTGTGTGTTTTTGTTTGGGTTTTTTTTTGTTGGGGGGCTGTTTTTTTTGTTTTGTTTGTTTGTTTGTTTGTTTGTTGGTGTTGTTTTTTGTTTGTTTGTTGTTGTGTGGGTTTTTTGTGGGGTTTTTTCTTTGGGCGTGGGGGGGGGGGGGGAGATATTTTACACTCTATAATGTTGAGGACTTAAACTTGGCTATAGCTGACAGATTTAGCAAAGAGGGCGATGGCAATGATACATGTATTGGCATTCCTGTTTGTGAGTTTAAGGACAGTCCTAACAATGAGGTAGAGCCAAACAACGACGAAAAAGGCTTTACTAACAACGTTATTTTATTTCCTTGTTCGTGACCCAGAGCAACTGATTGAGTTTGGCCAAGAGAACCCGTGGTCGCTGACTCAGCACGCTCTTCCTTTTTGAAATGTTCACGGCCTTATTAAACAAACATACGTCCTACCTTTGGCCAGAGCGTAAACTGTATTCTCTGATTTCGGGGTCAAATAAGGATGTAACAGACACATTATGTCCAATCAGCAGCATACATAAATGTGTGTCACGACCCGGTGGAATGGGACGCTAGTAAGTTTTCGGCCGATGAAGTTATTGTTATCAGCTTAAAGGGCGTTTACTTGTCCTGATTTATGTGAAGAAACAACAACAACAACAATGTGAAGAAATTACCCGTTTGTCTTTGCTAGAAGTCGAAATGTTTTGGATTGAAGGAGGTGGGGGTTACCTGGTTTCAGAGGTAAATTTAGCGAGAAAATGGCCACCAGAGTTTGATGACTTCCAAAGTTTCAGAGTCCTTAGAAACTGTAAATTTACATATTCTGTGCCTTTAATCAAAGCTGTTGGGTTTGTTTGTTGGATTGGGTTGTTTTTTTTAATTATCCACACAGCAATGTATTTTTTAATGCACATAAAATGGGTTGAGCCAATGAAAAAGAAGGATAAAAAATTGCCACACGGGCAAAAAAATGCTGATTTCTTCGAATTCGTTATTTTAACGAACGCCTGATTTCACTCTGATGCCTCACACATTTCGAACTATTGTACACACATTAGGAACACGTATTTGCGTAACATTTCGTGTAATGCATGGCGTTGCCTACGTTTGTTGTTGTTTTTAGTTTTAGATATAGTTACCAGAATTGAAAAATCAGTATAAGTAACAAAGTTGTGATTTAATTCTTTTTAATGTTCCAATGTGCTGTGATTTTAAGCATTCTTGGGTGTCCAGAATGTGTGTCCTCAATGTATATATTAAGTGTCTCTTGGCTCAAGGTCGTAATAATAATATTATTATGCAATGCTGTCTTTTAAAATACTAATCTTCCAAGTATTTGTATTTTTCATGCGTCCATACGCTTCCTAGGCCATCGTATTATAGCCACAAACATTATTTCCTGCAGCTTTGCTTGTTTGTTTTTTTTAAATTTAATGTCCTCTGTGTGACAAAGAGAGATACAAAAAGCCATTTTCCCATCACCCATTAAATTCCTACATCCTTAGTTTTGTCAAGTCGGGATTTCTTTCGACCTTTATCTCCTTCATAACCAGGCTCGACACTCCGTTGAACTAATTGCCAGGATTATGTAGCAGGCATGGCAGTTAACGAGTTACAGATTGTATTAGCAGAATAATATAGAAATATCATGAGAATACCCATTAAACTGTACAGAGCTTTAAAACTATCTTTAACAATTGTAACGTTAATTTATATCACATTGTGTGTGACTATGAGTCTATAAAGGGGCGTAAGCATGTAATGAGTGTGTGTGTGTGTAAGTTGCGAGTCGAAAAAAAGGTTATGAGATACATATTAATATGTTTGTATGCGTGTGTGTGCGCGCGTGTGAGTGTACATGTTTGTGTTTGCTTGTGTGTGTGTATGTGTGTGTGTGTGTGTGTGTGTGTGTGTGTGTGTGTGTGTGTATGTGTGTTTTGTTTTGTTTTGTCTTGTTTTATTTTGTTTTTGGAGGTGTTTTTGGCAGATAGATGTATTTTTTTGCATGTGAGTGTCGTGAGCTTGTGTGATTGTTTTGATTGTTGTTGATTTGTTTCTATATTAAATACTATTATGCTTTTGATTAATGTGTGTCTGCGTGTGGGTATGTTTGTTTGTGTGTGTGCGTGTGTGCGTGTGTGTGTGTGTGTGTGTGTGTGTG